GGGAAGTGGAAAAATTATAATATGTACTTTGACAACAGTGTTTTTGTGTGCTTGAGGCCAAAACAATTTTCTTCTGGTCTTTGTGAACAGGTATTAGTCTTTTGTTGTGAAAGAGGGGTATTTCTCTGCTGCAAACTGTATGTGAATACTGCAAGTTTGTTTTTAGAGACAGCCATTTCAACTTGCACCGAAATTTTTGCAGAAGAATGCCCTCAAGTAACAACCCTTCTTTCCAGCTACAGACTGTAGGATTCGTACGAACTGGAAATCCAGCAGAGAAAGCATTTGTGGTAGGATTAGATGTTGAAGCTTACGGAGTATTGAATCCACAAAAAAAAAAAAAAATCTGAAAAAAAGTAACAAAGAACAGACTGTGTTTGATTACAGGGCTATAAACCTTAGCATGCAGTGCTTAAACATGGAGGAACAAATTTTCTAACAGGCTGGTGCTATTGTGTAAAGATGGATTTGAGCCAAACTCCCAGATTTGAAACCCCATGAACTTCAGTAGGCCCAGGCCAATCCTTGGCTTAGGTTCATCTCAAACATTGCAAGCACAGAAAAGGCATTTGAACATTTACAGTAGCAATTGGAGATCCAAAGGGGAAGGTTCATGCATAATCTGTTCACTGTTTGCACACACAAGGGGCATATCAGTGCCAGCATTTGTCCCCTTGATCGTTACGAGAAGGTTTTTAGAGCATCTTTGAAAACACGCTGCAGCATAACACGAAGGGAATGTTTCTGGCATGTATCCTCAGTACTTGATTTGGTTACTAAATAATCTCTTTAGTGGAAAGAGCTTTATATGGCTTCTCTAATTTTACCCAAATAATTCATCTCATGCACATTGTCCCCACCTCTGTGGTCCCCTTGACAACCCTTTCCTGTAACAACAGCTGCCATCCGATTTCTGGGTTGCATGGTGGATTCCTGCTCAGAGAACAACCAGTTTATTACAGGTTTAAGCAATACTGCATTCTGAATGAGGACTGTAGTGGGTACCTTTCAACAAATTATCAGTTATACCCAGACCAACCAGAGAGATTTATGTGCTGGTTTTAACGAGCATTGTGCTCATTTATTTGCTTTCTCTTTTGCAGCAAAGCAAACTCTGGTTTCCTCCGAGTTGTGCAGCTGCTGTAACTGGTAATAAGACAGCAGTGCCGTGATGGAGACACGCATCCTGCACTTGCTGTCTCTGAGGGTTGTCTGGAGCTGGAGGGGGGAAAAGTTTAAGGTGAAAATGAGCTACATGCAATTACCAGTTTATGGGGAAGCTTAGAAGGGATCCAGCTGGTGGTAGCACTGGGTCGTTAAGACTGTTCTCCTCGAGAAACTAGAAGAAGAAATTAAAAAAATGCACATGTGCACTCTTCAGTTAGCAGAAGTTGTCAGAGCACCCTAGAGTATTTCTTATTAATAAGAACATAATTGCCAACTTTTACATAAAATTTACTTCGTGTGTGCTTCCTGTGGGGAAACCTCAATGAGCTTTTATCACCAGGGTAGCAGCACCAGTGTAAAAGATCCAGGAACACAGGGAGATCTGCATATTTTATGGTTCTGTGACAGAGCTATTATCAGAGCGTGCCACCTCCTTGAACTGAGCTGTCTGTATGACACTGAGTTACGATTTATGCCAAGTTTGCTTGACTGTAATGTGTGACCTGCCAAGGTCCATCATATGAGCAGCTGTAGTGAGCTGTAGATGATATTAAAGCAGGTGGAAGATGATTTTGCAGTTCCATGCTGGCAGAAGCGGAGCGGTGTGGGTCCATCCCCTTCTCGGAGTCAGGTGTGGAGTGGTGAGGAGCCTGGGGAGAAACAACTGTGAGTTTTGTTTTGAGACCAGGTGACATTGTATTGTCGCAGTTGCAGTTTATCATAGCAATAAGAAGTCACGACAAATACTGTGGTACAACTCCAGCTTGTCCTAACTTCACTGTTTTCCATCTCTCTGCGCTTCTTTAAAAGCTGGTGAAAGCTAAATGCTGTGAGTGTAGGTTTAGAAATGAAGATTTATTTTTGAGCAGTTAGCCTGAAAATAAAAAGGGGTAACACTGTATCCAGGTTGCAATCCTTAAACAGGAATGCTCTCCAAACAAAGCAAGCTCTTCGTGGTGTTTATGCAAAGCTGCAGGCAGACACAGGGTGGAAGCAGTTGGGATTGTTACGCTGTTCCTTTTTCCAAGGCTAGCATTCACCTGTGCTGCATGGCAGCCTTGGCTGCATACCAATCCCATAGTGGATTGTTTCCCAGTTTGCTCTCCCAGATACGCTCTACACACCTGGCAACACCAATATTATTATCTTGAAAGCTCCAACAGAGAGATGAGCCCTGGTATGCCATGTCTTACAAGATCCCTTTTAGCCCAGGGAGTGCCCTGACAGGCTTGGTTGAGCTAAAGTGAAAGATTTGTCCTTAGTCTATTCAACTATAATTTTTCCTCTTTTTAATGTAATTTGATCATAAGCTTCTAATAATACATGAGACACAAACTGCTTGTTTTTTATCAAAATCTGCACTGTATTGTTAAGAGTTCTACAAGGTTACCACACACACAACAGACTATTGAAACAAGCTGCTGAGAGAGGTTTGTTGTAATATCTATGTACCAAACGTTTCTCTGACTCATACCCCCACATGCCCCCTGCAGTGATTTTGTAAGTCAGGGCAAAATTTAGACTACTGTTTATTATCTGGTACGTATTTCTAAGACATTGCCAAACAAAAAGCTAAATTTAAAAACTATGCCTTTTGTTGTCGGAGGTTCCAGACATGCCAAAGGAACATGTGTCAGCAATTTTAGACTTAGCAGCCACGTAATTGTGAAGCATACTTATTTTTATAGATGCTCTTGGATGATAAAAACTGAGATATTTCTATTAGCTATTGAGTTACGTTTACTGTCACTGTTTTTTCATTCTTAGTATCACTTCAAGAATTTGTACTGGAATGGAAAAAAAAAAAAAGTGCACAGAAACTCTTCTTTCATTTATGTGTGTGACAAAGTTATTGTGTCCAAAGGGAAAAAATGCTTTTAAAGGGTTTGTGTGGCTTGTACACTCATATGGACAGTCACTGGGTCCTGCACATATATTCTGTCTTTATTTACTTCATTGGGTATTGCCTTCGTTTCTGAGTCAGTTTGCCTCCTGCCTAATGATATTTTATTTCTCTAAATTGTGTGATTAATTGAGGGGAAAGGGATTTAGGCTGTGGCTTTGGGTGCAGAGAATGAGACAGAGAGGCAGACTCTCTGATGCAGGGAAGGGAACTGGGTTTGAACCTCAGATCCACCCTACATCATAGGGTCAGCGTGACTGAGCTGGGGAATATGGTGGTATGTTTTTTCCCAGCTTACACCTGAATCAGACATGTATATTAATATATAGCCCAGTGCTCTGAATTGAAGCATCTTTAGGAATTACTCCCAGGCTTGCTAACTTCTTAACCATCTGAGATACACCTTGGAGATAGATACACCAAATGACACAGTCTAACCTTCTGTCGACAAGTATGGCTTTCCTCCAGAAGTAATCTTTAGTATAAGATCAAAATGCTACTGCCTAGTTACTTATCTAAAATACTAATCTTTCAACTGTTTTATAGTGATTTTGTTTCCATTCATGGAGGTAAATATTTTCAGTTAAAATAATTTTCAAATTAATGTTTGGCAATAGGATTATTTCAGAACTTAATTTTTGGACAGAGACTTTTGAGGAAATCTGATGAGGGCAACTTTGAATGTATTCTGCATGGTTTCTTCAATTTAGCATAGTCAGAGTGTGGTATCTTACACTGCTGCAAACTTGGCTAGTTACATCCTGGTAAAGGCTTAGGCTTGTGTGGTTTCAGTTATTGGAAGATACTGTACCTACCTATAAACATGTAGGTTTGCTCATAGCCGTGTGTCACAGGCACTGGTGGCTGTCATTTAATTGTCTAGCAGCTGCTCCACTGTGTTTCTCTTGCCCACTGTCACTTTTGCGGCTGTATCCAGCCCTGAAGCTTTGTGGATCTGGGCCAGTGATTAATTCCTAGTCTGTGTTACTAAAGTGCAAGTTTTTATAGTCATCTGTTAGCAATTGAGCTGTAGATGCAAAAGTCCATTCTGTTAGTTCTTTGGTGATAAACAGTAGGATTCTAGGTGAGACCCTGTACCCTACCGTCACTGATCTGAACCTACCTGTAGCAGGAGAATAGAAAAATTAATGTTACTGCCTTGCTCCCTTTGTTTTTTTAGTAAAGACCTCCCTCACCTTACTGTAGGAGCATCAGTTCAGCGCTTCCTCCATCCTGTCCTCTCTTGAGGTGACTTGATTGCTGTCATCCCTTTTCAATGCTGTGTCTGTGGAGTAAGATACTGAGGTTTGTAGTCAGCTTATGCTGATGAGCAGGGTCCAGCCGTGGACCTTGCATAGTCTCATGTTGCCTGACATATCAGGTTTTGATCAACTCTGAAAGGGCCCCACCACAAGTGCTGCTGTGGCATATCCTGTATCTCATAATCAAGGAGAAAAGCTTGGTCTTACATATTCCTCACTGTCAGTGCAGCCCTGCATATGTGAGGTGGTGTTATGGTGAGAGTGTTCTGTATAGACATGAGAGCAGAGGAAAAGAGGAGCAGCTGTCTGGGAAATGATGCATGTTGTTTTAGCTGCAATTTTGGTAAAGAGTGGAGCAAGCAGATCAAGTCAGAAAGTTATGCTGGTTGTCATTGTCTTCTCTGCCTCCAGACATTTGACCCTGCCTTGGAAGCTGGTCTTGGGCCAACAGAGAAAAGAGCCATCACTGTTGTGACTCACTTCACTGAAATCATTAGTTAAGCCAACACATAACCAATGTGAAAACAGGATCAAGATTTTTTTGTTGGTATTTTTTCCCCAAACTGGGCTAATGGCATTTAGCTTATGAACTTATTGTTGTCTTAGTTTTTAGTAAATGGAATTAAATTTATGTACTAAACATCAGTTACTCTTCCTGGCTTTTCTAGGACGAATCCTCGACTTGAAGACTGGAACAGTAAAGAAGGAGGGTCAGCAGTCCTCAATGAGAATGTGCATGGGATCAAGGCGCTCTTTCATTTGCAGGATGAGGTACACTTTTACCTTGTGTTCCTGTGATGGTTCCAGTCCCATGTCAGATTAGACTTCAGACATTTTGTTGCACTAATTTGACCTTGCTTGAAAAATGAAGCTGTAATGACATGCTCCTGTTAAGCATTTCCAGAATGCTTGCTTTTGGAACTGGAATAAAACTGGAACCTGTCTTCCTTTATGATTAATAACAAAGCAGCACCTCATTTGTGTGTTGCAGTTATTTTTATCATTGTGGGGTGTAGGATGCTTTCCCTGGAGAACTTCATGACAACTTCACCCCTGGAATGTAAGCCTTTGTCTCTTCTAGTCAGATTACTCTAATCAGTGTAATGAAAGACCAACTCCGTGTATTTTTTCAGCAAACCAATAATATTAAAAGAATCTTGAAGGCAAACAGGAATTCAGTTGCAAACTTGCCAGCTATGTAGGAATTAACCTAAGCCTGGTATGAATTAACCAAATGTCAGCTGGTTGATGCTAGATAAATGAGCAATTGTTAGAGGGTTTTTATTTTGCAATTTTTCAACTTCTGCATTGCTTGGGCTTCTTTAAAGAGATCTGCCTGCCCAGTGCTTCTTACTGGGACTGGTGGGCACTTTTGTTGTAGTGTTAACAGGGATAAAATGCCTCTTGCTATTGCAATAAATTTATTTTTGTGTGGTTGGGGGGGAAAGTACATCATTGCATCTGCGGCCTATATCCAATATATGTGTTGAAAAGAGATGATGCAAAATTTGTTATGGAATGAAACATGCAAAGCAAAATATTTTGTACATTAAAACAGATGCCTGTACTTCGGTTTTGTGGTCGAATTCTTTGAGTCATGTGAGGAAGCTGACTGTATATGGCTCTTGGGAGCCTTTGTAAGGGGTTTATATAATTCGTACCTGCAAGATTAGACTTCAAAGCTGTAGCTCCTTTTCCCCCCTTAACTGCAGGGAAAGAAATTCAGCCTGGCAGAGAGACACTTGGAACATTACTTTCTCTTCAAGCTGCACATAGTGGTCATGTGAGGAAGACTTTTTTGTACAAAGCAAACCAGGCCTAATGTGCTGTTTACAGTTGTTCTCCAGTTCTTAAAACAACATTTCAGACTGCAGTTATTTCCTAGCACCCTGATTCTGTAAACTGGAGCGCATGAGAGTAATTTTATACATGCCAGTAGCCCCATTGTTTTTGTAATTCTAAATCTTATTTTAAGTGTTCATTCCTCCTTCTTGGCAGTGACTGGTATTAAAAGAAAAAAAAGAATAATAATTAAAAAAAAAACTTGTGGGAAGAATGAGCCTCTAATAATGTGAACTTTCCTTGTGATTACTTCTTTCATTGTTATTTTTTTTTTCCATTGAAAATGAACTGGATTTAGCCTTCAAACTATTTACTTAACTTCAAATGGATTGTGAAAATTACACAGTTAGGTATAGTTAGAAATATGACAAAATATACACAAACAAGTATTAAACAACATTACTTGACAGTGTAAATAGTCTGTTCTTGCAAATGTAAACTTAATATCTGCTAACATTGTAGCTGAATGCTCTGTCCAGGGAAGCTACTATAACACCGAGATTGTTTTTTGTGAATATTTGGGGGCCTGATGTACATTCTTCTCTAGTTTTCTTCCTTGTTTTCTAGTATTTTGAAGTGTTTCTATTCTTTAGTCACTCTTGGAATATCTATTGCAAATAGTTTTTAGGTTTAGGGAATCTTTTTGTAGTCTCTTTTATTTTTCTTTTTAAAATAAATAAAATATTTCTAGCACACCCAAAAAGCTCAGCCTGTGAAAGTAACAAGTTCTTAAAAAAACATGAATCTGTGACTTTCTCTCAGAAATAAATATCCATTAATGTCTACTTATATATGCTAATAAAGATCTTAAAATGCATTTTCATCTTGGGTATTTATATTCAATTTTGAGCCTTTTCAAATATTAATTTACTTTTAGGTGTGGAAATGCTCCTCTGGATCATTTACCTCTGAACAGAATAACCACCATGAGAAAAAGATACAGGTACTATTACTTAATTTACTACAACAGTTAGTTGCCATGAGCACTCTCATTTTCCGCTGGGCTAATGCTCGATCAAGGAGCACTACCTGGACAAAAATCTACATTAGCACACAGTGTAAAATAGCACCAGGTCTCAGGAGAGGAGAACTCTACACTTAATTCAGCTCTGGCAGAGTCACTGCATCTTTTTGCAAGCCTTGTGCAAGTCACTCAACTTCTTTGTCTTAACCAGCTCCATCTCTGAAAAAAGCTTCAGAATGTTGTTCTAAGAAGTATTATGGAAAACAAGTGAGGCTTGAATAGCTTTGTAATGGAGCTGACACTGTGCAGAGCCCTAGGCTGACAGTTGGTTGTTTCTAACTTACAAATATCAGCAAGTCATTAGTAGTAATTTAAAATATAACGCTGTTCTGCATGTCAGTCAATGTGATATTTTTGTGTTTCCATTTGATTTAGGAATGGCCTTGGCCCAGTAAAAGAAGGTGAAGCACAGTATGCCGTTGTCCATTGCACTGGCTATATCAAGGCTTGGCCACCAGCAGGTGTGTATCTCTCCCATTGAACATGTGCAAGAGAGTTGAAAACCTGGTTTAGGATCCCTTTGCTGGTGCAAAACAAGGCTGAATTTCAGTGGGGCAACCCATTCAGTCTCATCTTGTGAAGCTTTTGATATCAAGAAATCAGCTGTTGTTACTCACTCTGGGGCTCCCCGTTTTTCTGGGTGAAACCCTTCTTAATTTCATTGGCACAGAGAGCTGTAGAAGCTGTCAGTAATGTGGGATTACAGCACATGGGGCCAAAAGTTTTCAATATGATAAACCAGCATAAAAATTGCCTGATTTTAAGAAGGTAAACACAAAGCATTTGTACTTCTAAAAAGCACCAACTAGTTCTTTTATATTAAAGTACTGAGTTGCCAGCACCTGTGTATGAAAATGCATAATTTCAGTTTAGACGCTCAGGACTTCAGAGTGGTGGTTTTAGTGGAGAAAGTTCAGTGTTTGTGATAAGTTCTGTTTTGAGGCTGTTTTTCTGGGAAACAAGTCTTGGCATATTGCTTTGAACTGCAGAGAAAAACATTTACCTGTTGTAACTTAGTATTACATATGGGAGTATTTACCTCTGAAAAATTCCAGGAGGAGACAATGGAGCTCATCCAGACATCATCATGAACTGGGTTAGCTGACCTTGGCATTTGCAGTAGTTGAAGAGTCTGTTTGCAATATGACAGTGCCTGCTGGCATGAATCAAACCATGAGTTGTCCTGCCCTTTTGCGGTCATGTACCACGAGCATAAATCACATTTATCCAGGGATTATGAATGCTAAGAGGTGGTTTGCGCCGAGTCTCTGCAGTGGTGTGCAGACACCAGCGT